TTGAAAGAGAAACCAGATATTCAAATTATACACTGCACAAAATATTATTCATTTCAGTTCCGCGGTGCAAGAATCTCCCCGCAATGAAGGATGGCTGTTCGATATGCCACCCCAGTTATGATATGGTGAAGGGTACTGTATGCCAGTCTGGTTGTTATCATGGTCACAAGCTTGTAGGGGACTCATCAACCGGATGTACAAAATATGGTTCTTGGACCAATAGCCTCCCTAAATGTGAACGTAAGTACATTTTACTCGCAATTACAAGATTATTGAAGGTTAGCAAAGTTCATTAGATCTTATAGATGTATAACGTACTATCTAAACATAAACTTGTTTGATGTTTCAATCATTGTATTTTCACGCGTCGTTTACCAAGATTGATGTCCTTGTAAAGGTCCTTAAGTTATATTTAATATAAAACCTACCTCTACAAACAAGGACTTCCTGCTATTCTACGCCAAGTTGTAGTCGCGACATTCAACAGCAACATGACAATGATCAACTATAGATTCACATGAAAGTGGACAGTTTTGTTCATCATCGGAACTGTTAATACCTAATGTAGTAAATGTAATCAAAATCTACATGGCATAAAAAAGTTATTATCAAAATCACTTGATATTGAACTGTCATAATCAAGGATTATTTACATTAAAATTACACGACATTGAACAATGTTATCAGAATTGTTATGACATTGCATAGGTAGCATGTGACATTGAACAGTTGTATCAAAATTATATAACATTGGACGATTATTATTACAATCAGATGACATGGAAAAAGTAAATGCTAACCGTTTGATGCAAACTTTATCAATATGGCAGCTAACAGTAACAGCAACAATCATAATGAGTGTATAAGTTTTTAATAAAAACTGATATGACACGAAACAATTGCAAAAAGGAGAATTATAAAGGACCTGATTCGCTCAACTGGACAATACTATTAAAAATAAATCATACCTGTTTACAGACTTTATTAGCTTTACCTTTGATTATCTTTGTCTGGGTTTTGACGGTTTGAAGTCTTCCTAACAGCCAAACTCATATGAAATGCTTTATATTGAAGTGAATGGCGCTGACAAACGTTTAGGTGTACAGAGTCCTGTGTTCGTCACCTGCTGTTACCCACGGCATGATCGCAAGAGGCAACTTCTGTACATGTAGGAACCCCCTTCAAAATTAAGGATATGCTATCATACCCTTTACTTGGGGACATAAAAGCGACCAACATAAACCTGATGTACCTGCTGCACACTTTGTTTCCTAACGCCGTCCCTGGCAAAACTTCGTGCAGGTCAGGAAGGCAATGGGATTTATCTCCATGCCGAGATAAACTTAAGTCCGTTACAAGTGGTAGTTGTTTATCCCTGCTTACCGTTCAGCATTAAGGGTAATGAGAGGGTAACGGTTCACCCATTATCAGTATTAAGTGAGGGGACGGAATGCTGTGTTGGGTGCCTCCGTCGTGGTATTTCAGGGAGGTAGCACAATAAAGTCGGCATCAGATCACACGGAAGCAAACACACATACTGCCTTTATCACACATACACAACACACAAGGACGCACGTCCTCATTTAACCTTACCTACTGATAAGACGTTAAACCAGTACAACCAATTTAATCCTTGGTACATTTCTTTGTTATGATTTTACGTCTTTGCATCAGATTTGTTCATATGTAGACAGTGTCCACAGATGATAGGATCGCTTAAAGTTCCGTTGATCATGCTGTTCGAATGAATAACTTTGAACCGCTTTCAATGACTCAGGGGTCAAATGCATTAAATCTTTAACATTTTTTTCTGCAACAATAAGCTTAAGGACATGATAGGATACTGGGATTGAAGGAATATTGACTTTGACCAAATAAATCAGCTTGCTTTCAACTCGTTATATCGACTCTACGACATGCAAAACAATTACGATAAATACGAATTCAGGTAGCACGTATTTGAACAATTAAGCTATTAAATGCACAATTAAAATAAATTGTGATTTTTTTGCAATGATTGCTGTAACCAAATAATCCAACAAGGTTATTCTTTTACACAGGACGAACATGTGAGCCACCGTTAACAAGAACTGGTGGTGCGAGACTGTTCAGTGTTCTGACAGCAACTTTTATCGCAGTAAATGTTCCTACACCTGTAAGCGAGGGTTCGATGTGAAGCCAGGAATGACGCGGGTACGGGTGTGCACGAAAGACGGAACATGGAGAGGACGAGAACCCAAATGTATAGGTATTTAAATTTAATTTTTTATCATAATCTAAACCGTCTTTATTAAAAATATATCTTTTTTTAGAAGCAGTGTTTCCGAAAGGATGTTTTCACTGAAACAATTTACCAAGACACAACTTTGTTAGGATTTCGAATATATAACTTTTTGTTTAACTAAGTTCAAATGCAGGTAGCTCTTTATGGCAACTAAACAATGTATTAGGTGTTATCGTGTAAGACACTAGAATCGATTAACTTGTCCATTCATTGACATAAAAAATAAAGAGGTCCGACAATAACACAATTTGACAAGCAGTTGCCTATTATTTCCACTGCTCAGTAAACAAGTTTACACCTTACATGTGGCTTATTATAAGTTGTCAGATACAATGTAGGGGAGATTACTGGCAATTTTAAAAATGGACGTAGTAAATAAAATGTATTTTGTCTGGACATTTGATGAATATAATGGCCGTAATTTTGAAACAAAAACAACTTTTTCATATTGTACTGTTTATTCATTCTCTATCACCTCAAACTGCTTTTTAAATGTTAAGCATTAATAAACCAATTGTTAAGAATGACCACATGTAGGATTTCCAATTCACGTGTGGTATTTTTACTCATAACTATTTCTTGTAATTGTGTGTGCGAAAGGTTATTCAATCTCATGTATCACTTAAGGATAGAGGTTTGTAAACACTTTGACTTTAGATTTTTCTCAGGAATCTGAATCCCTTTGCAAATTGGTAATGATATATAATACTGGTAAGCCTATAGCTCGAGTTTTCATTAACAAAGAATTGTTATAATTTTTTCTGTCCTTCCTGTTTTTCTTTATTATGCTGATAATTCAAATAAATTATTGGCTCACCTGGTCCGAAGGACCAAGGTGAGCTTATGCGATACCGTGGGGTCCGTCGTCCGTCGTCTGTACGTCAACAATTACTTAAAACGACTTCTTCTTAACCACAGATTGGAATTTGACTAAATTTGACTGGAAGCATCCCTAGGTGGTGGGGATTCAAAATTGTACAAATGGTTGGGCTGACCCCCCAGGGAGCGGCTGAGGGGCGGGGCCAAAAGAAGGCAATTTGGCTATATTGCATTAAGCGATTTTTTCTCTGGAACTAAGTAATGGATATCAACCACATTTGACTGGAAGCATCCCTAGGTGGTGGGGATTCAAAATTGTATAAATAGTTGGGCTGACCCCCAGGGGGCTGCGGGGTGGGGCCAAAAGGAGGCAATTTGGCAATATATTGCTTTAAGCGACTCTTCTCTGGAACTAAGAAATGGATATCAACCACATTGGACTGGAAGCATCCCTAGGTGATGGGGATTCAAAATTGTACAAAAAGTTGGGCTGACCTTCCAGGGAGCGGCTGAGGGGCGGGGCCAAAAGGGGGCAATTTGGCTATATTGCATTAAGCGATTTTTTCGCTGGAACTAAGTAATGGATATCAACCACATTTGACTGGAAGCATCCCTAGGTGGTGGGGATTTAAAATTGTACAAATAGTTGGGCTGACCCCCCAGGGGGCTGAGGGGTGGGGCCAAAAGGAGGCAATTTGGCAATATATTGCTTTAAGCAACTCTTCTCTGGAACTAAGAAATGGATATCAACCACATTTGACTGGAAGCATCCCATATTTGGTCGGAAGCATTCATGGGAGGTAGTGATTCACACTTGTACAAATTTTGTTGCTGACCCCACGGGCTAAGGGGTGGGGCCAAAAAAAGTGTATTACTTGGAAATGGTTGAGATCCCCACCGTATAACCATATATACAATAGCTGAATATAAAGAGAAGAATGCACAGTTGCTTCCAGGATGGCCCTGGGGTCTGGCACCACCCTTGGAGTCATAGTCCCTTGGTCATAACTTTGAAACGGTTGAGATCCCCTCCCCAAAACTATATATACAAATGCTGGGCATAAAGAGACGAATGCATTCATTATATTAGAATAGACCCTGGGGTATGACCGAACCCCTAGGGACCTAGTTTCTTAGTCACAGATTGGAAACAGTTGAGATCCCCACCCAAAAACCATATATACAATTGCTGAGTATAAATAAATGAATGCACATATGCTTCCAAGATGGCCTTGGGGTCTGCCTTAGCCTTGGAGACTTAACCCCTAGGTCATAACTTCAAAATGGTTAAGATCCCCACCCCATAACCATTCAAAAAATTGCTGGGCATGAAAAATTTAATACAGATATGTTACAAGGGTTGGCCTTGGGGTCTGGTATATTCCCTTGGATGTCATTTGGAAAATATTTTGCCATGATTGCTTAGATATCCAGGTGAGCGATACAGGCCCTCTGGGGCCTCTTGTTAAAATGACGTTAAACAAAATATAACCAAACCAAACCAAAGCTTACAAATTAATAAGTCTAAAGTCATAACTTGTAGCCACAAACACATTATCAACTTATTTCCCTTTGGTTCAGCATTCTCTCGATTCATTTTAGTTCTTTTTGAAACGCTTTTCTAATAACATTTTCCTCTATAATCTCTGCGTAGATGTAACCCGCCCGGTCATATCATACTGTACCAAGGCTGTGTACGGGTTTGCTTACAGAGGAGCTACATCCGGTATTGTGCATTGGACGGAGCCATCGGTATACGACAACGCAGATAAGTCTATACAAATAAAACGAACCGGCCCGGCAAGCGACGAACGTCTTGAGGCTGGTACTTATGACGTAACGTATGCTTCAACGGATGAGGCTGGCAACAAAAGCGTTTCCATGTACAATAAAAGTTATGGTAAAAGGTGAATACTGTAAGAACATATATATCATTATTCTGTATAATGATATAAATCGTTATTAATATATGGTTATCTGTCAAATTTCTTTTCAGTTGATTAACAGTTTTTTGTGAATTGCCTGTTAGAGATTAACATCCTAGCAACAAGTCTCTGATTTTTTTTTCTTCAAAAGATAACATTGTTATTAACACCCCCTACCCCTTCCCGATTACATCAGTTTGTATTATCATTCTAAGATTCGAAGAAAAAAAACTTCTTCGTAATCTATACAGCGCGGTAATAATAGTGTAAATCAGATTTTCGAGAAAACTAAGACAAATACAGTAATTTTATAGACAGGAACTAATTGGAATTTAGATTTTATAGAATATTAATGAGATTGCAATATTACTACAAATAAATATTTGTGAATTTGTAACATCATAAAGGTACTTTGTCTCCTTTGCAGTATTTCTAAATGTTTGAGAAATATCTAGAAGTGTTTTTTGTTACCTGAAGGGACAAAATAACGAAACAATACATCGAAAACGTTAATCTTATGCATCGAATAACTTATGATTAAATTGATGATTCTTTTTTTCGTATTTCTAGTCATTGTGATTATTTGGTTCAAAACAGTCTACGTTCGTCTCACATACATCTACCAATTGTTTAATACATACATGACGACCAATCAGACAACACATTTTGAAATATTTTCAGTTCTCAGATGCCCAACTATACACAATCTCCCTCATCAGACAATTAATTGTCCTGACGGGTACAGATACGGATCTCATTGCAATTTCAAATGTACAAATGGATCGCTTATAAACGGCACGGGCATAGCTACTTGTGAGAAAGAAAGTATTGGGGAGTATGCCTCCTGGCGTTGGGGAGATTATCAGCCATTCTGCGAGGGTAAGATTCACATTAATCAGCTCTCGTAAGAACGTTGAGATATACATTTAAAAAAAGATATACTAGAACATATAATAAATGCAACTATATTATGAAATGTATTAATAAAAGGAAGGATACATTTTTTATAAATATTCCGTTTGATTATTCGGAAGAGTGAGTAATATACCAAACAGAGTACCACTTGTCTTAAAATTGTGCACCGCCTGCTTGTCCACAGCTGTTTTTTGTCATAGATCGGGTAACAAACATATATTTTTTTATTTAAGGTGGCTGTCGCTTATGTGTTTGCGACAGAAGGTTTGTTAACTTGCCACTAACCAGGTGTAGTTGTAGAAGAATTTTAAAACATATGTTTGATTTTTAAAATTCCATTGAATTACATGGTATAACAGCTTTAGTTATTCAAATTGTTTTAAAACAATGTCATGCCTTGCACTTTTATCTCCAGCTGTAGATTGAGTCGCAAACAAATTAAACAGTGTTTTGTCCTAAATGACTTCATTGTCGACGGTCCGTAAAACAATACAAAAACAAAAGCAAACAAATCAGCCTCGTGTAATGCGTTAGTAAACGTTATTATGTTTTTCTGTTTTCGATAGTTGTTCAGCTATGTAAAGATGATCTGCGGCCTCCTGATAATGGCGCTGTAGCATGTTACTACTGGTTAGGCGGAAAGTTTTGTCAAATGTTATGTAGGAATGGTTACGATGTTCCCCCTGGGTACATCTATTCAGAGATGTATGTGTGTGGCGAATCGGGAGAGTGGTTGCCTGGATCAGCGTTGCCCAACTGTGCAAGTAAGTAAATTCAGCATAGTTAAGTTTCATAAGGTAAACATCTGGTTATTGAATATATTGGTGTAGGGGTCGACGTCAGAAGCTCGCATAGCCTCGGTTCTGACCTAAATTCTGCAATATTAAGTGGTTTGGTTTTATATGTTTAACATCCTATTAACAGCGGTCATTAATATATCCTATATCTACGAATGATAATATTCATTTAGTCCAAATATATATCACGGGACCTAGTCGGACGTTATGTTGTCTTCTCATGATTCAACTTGTAAGGAGTTCCATTACTATGTGAAGAGGGTTTAGTTCGTCTTAAACGACTGTCTTACACTGAGAATACGTCTATCCTTTAACCATAACCAGGTAAAATCAACAAAATGTCAAATGAAAATCAGACCTCTATCATGGCCAGGGTTCGGTTATGGTTTTGTTTAACGTGTTGAACAGCTATGGTAATTTCAGGACGGATCTCCATGTGTGTTGTGAAAGCGTGCATGCGTGCATGTGTGCCGGGGAAACGCTGGTGGTTATTTTTTAATTGTCTTTGATTGAATTTTGTAAGTTTATGTATGCTTGTATACTTGCAGAAATATTTAACAGTCAAACTTCGGCATTACGAATGGACGTGAATTACTACTTCGATGGAGACTGTAATAACGCTGACGTGCTAAGAAGTATTGAAGTAAAATTCATCCAAGCATTGATGGCTTCTACATTCAAAGATGCTTGTGAAGTGTATGCTGAAAAATGCCACCCTTGGAATGTCCAGGTAAGATACTGTAGAACACTTTATATTCACATGAAAACAATGAAAGATGTAATATTGAATATTGCTATGTGTTTCGTGATGCATGTGTAGATGTCAAGGGAGAGACGCCAACAGGGAAAATAAATGGTCTGTAGAATTGTTTTTCGTAAACTACATACGCAGATTTGCGTAATCAGAATAGTTATTTTTTACATATTTTTGTTGAATGCCGTACCATCGTGTTGATGCACGACCGTTGCTGTACTGAGTGCACTCGGCATGGTGTTTCAATAAGGTAGCACTTTAACATCGGCGTCAGATTTGCGCTATCGTAAGGAAGCACACATCAACATACCTGTCTCCAGCGCATATACACACTTACACGCACACATAACACACTTGGAAGCACGTCTTTAAACAACCTGAGCTGTTAGCAGGTTACTGAAGTTAATGAAACTAAACAAAATGTATTTGAACAAGAAAAGTGGCATTTTACAAGTAAAACAAAGATAGAGACAATAAATATATACGGACTGCTGAACATTTAACAATATTTTGCTCTCGTTAGGTACAATGTGGACACAAGTCGGGCAAGCGATCGACAAATCTTAATATCAGGTTCGATGTGGAAATCACTGCCAAATCCCCATTTGGAAACATGTCATTTGGAAGATTAAACGAAAACATAAAAATCATTGATGCTTAATGTGGACACTGAGACCTTTACGATATCGAACTTACAACTTCATTCTGCTATCAGATTTCAAGATTTCAACTACGACAACCTTTGCATCATCTGTGATGAACCATTGATTCCGTCATACTCAAGTGAATCGTGTGGNCCCACACACACACCCCACCCCACCCCCCACCCCAAGGAAGAGGGTCTGGACTTTCTTTACCAAGCTGCGTCAGCCTAGTGGCATACAGTCGTATATCACCTCCAAGGGTGTAGATTTCAATTTTCTACCTACTCGACATAGAATGATCCTTTTTTGCGCCCAAATATCTTCAAAACAAAAAAATTAAATCAGTAACACACGTGTGTGCTATTTAAATTAATAGCGATGTTTTATTGCAACGTTTAAGATTACACAATGTCAGCACTATTAGAATTATTTATTTGTGGAAATGGATTTAACTGCTTAAACATTGTTTTCAATATATTACACTTGACTTGGCAAACAAATAATTGTGCATTTCACGCGAGAAAGTTCCCGTTTAGCACGCGCTAATGATTTGTTCTTGTCATTTACTCGAGATAACAGAAAAACAAATCTGGCCAACGGAAGAAGTGCATTACATGTGGCACAAGAACTATCTACTTCATGTTAACACTTTCGTCTTAGAATCCGTCTTTCATAAGTTTTGACTAAAATACAACAAATTCTTCATTTAACAATACGGAAATCAGTCGTATTGCCAAACCTTTTTATGATCGAACGGGCAGATGTTTTACAAACATGTGATAGCCTTTATATCAAGTTTGTTGGATGCAATGTTGTTATGAATATGATAGTCACATTGATCTCTTTAACAGTTAAAATATATCACACAACCGATTCGTATGCTACTGATGTTTCATTGTATCCTTTACTATTTAGCTTCATGTTCAAATGATATTTTGTGAACGTCTATTGTTTGTGTGCTATGCCCCAACACGTTGTTTATTGACAAAGGGAGGCGATACAATTCAAAACTTAACGGAACAAAATCCTTGGCTCCTAATGGTGTTGTTTACTGTCGAATATGATTTCAAAAGTTATCCTATAACACCGATAATACAGAAACCAAGAAATAGAGGGAAACACTAACACTTTCATCTCTATTAATCTCTGCATTCATCTATTGGTGTTATCGTCTGGAATCGGATACTAATGGTGAACTATATTTATTCTGTAATTTGTTTTCTGCAGAAAGTTTATTAAATAAAAAGTAATAATTGTGCAAATACAAATAAGGTTATGAAGTCAAAATTTATATAAACATATATTATGAACAGCATTTTAAAATTGTGTTTTGAATGAATATGGATTTGCTGGATTTGTTGATATGATATTGTGTGAGAGTTCGTACCTCTGTCATTGTTTATCACAGTTGAGTGCCCTGTTGGAACACACTATGATAGAGATACCCAATCATGTCTGATGTGTTCAATTGGACAATATCAACTGGCAGTTGGCGGCACAATCTGTATACATTGCCCTACCGCCCACACAACTCGTCGACAAGGAGCAGCGTCAATCGATGAATGTGAAGGTGGGCCTTTATGATTATGTTTTGTTTCTTCATGCTAACAGAGACAATATGAGATATTCAATGATCCCCACCCAACCCCGCAAGATAAGATCCCCCTAGATATATTTTAGCGCCAGACCCACAACTATGAGACAAGGGTTGCATCTTTAAGTCAAATAGAGACGTAAAACGTCAACCACACCACCTTATTATGATGACTTAGTATATCAATTTTGTTTATAAACACTACTCGTTGTCGTTATTGTTATACAAGATGTTAAAATTCAACATTTGTCGGTAAAAGGAAACATCGATTTTCACTTTCAAATAGCATATATATATGGTCTGGGAATTCCCTGATACGCTTTAGCGTTGTTGGTTTTTTTGCGATCATATAAATGCCATGGAATGTATATACGTTCAAGATTCCATAAAACCTAATAATTTTGTTACTTACATGGTTGTTAATGAGATTCCATTTTTAACGTTTAGATAGCGAGTCTTAAAGTTCTGCACGTATCTGTATAATAAAATCAAATTCAAGATCTTCTCGATCGCACATCACAGAAATTTCGCGAATTTTCTTTTGAATTTTCTTTTTTTTTTATCATACCACCATCTTGAATTTTGACGTCATTTTGCAGTATGTCTCGTCAGCATATTTAATTTATTTTATGTAACATATATTTCTTTAGAAAAATACGACCCGTATTGATTTTACAGATGCATGTAAGTTAGGGACGTTTTCGAACAATGGATTACCTCCCTGTACACCGTGTCGAGTCGGCACGTATGCATACAGATATGGCTCGATGGCCTGTGAGGTCTGCCCTTTATCTTCCACTACATTAGCAGAGGGAACATATCGACTCGGAGATTATAAGGTATTTCATCGTTCCTATTATCAATACTCTCCATATGCACGTGCCTACTTTATCCTGTAGACTTGTTTCCGTATGCTGTAAATCTCAGAATTATCACGAACGTTATTGAAATTTTAAGCCAATACGAGAAAGATTATAAAACATCTATAATATTGAACCACATGGAAACTGTTGGTCTGTTCCAAAAAATACAACAAACCACAGCCACTTTTACTATTCAAGTTTGTTTATTAACAATTTCTCGGCCATAATGACCTCTTCGGTGATGATGGGTCGTTAAGAATGTAATAACACCACGATCACTTTTTTCGAACAATTATATAATTATCGTTCTTGAAATGCTGCAATAACATATGTAATTCTGTATTTAAATCTATCTAGTTGAATTTTCAATTTGTTTGACTTTAAAAGAGTCTCGTGACGGTAACTGTTTTTTCAACAAAACATCTTTTCAGATTTCGATCTTGTGATATCCAGTTCGAGCGGAAATGTTGTTCGTTCTGCCTCTCAGCAATGTTACCATGAACGGACAACTCAACTTTACGTTAAGTTTTAGGATAAAATCTGAGCAGGCAACTTCAATGGGTTCTATCGTTCGATTAAAATTTCCTAACAGAAATGAACATTTTGATATCAGCATTATCAACGATAGCTTTGCCGTTACCGGAAACAAGTATGTATTTTTTTTTGTATTTAATCCTTCTATTTTTATCTTTGTTAAGGATATAGGCACAATATTGCAAGGACCAAAGATAACCCCTGCAGATTCGAGGAAAGAACACGTCTGCTGTACCTCCCTGCATGTCGTAGGGCCGACTAATAAGGGACTTACGCGCTCTTACAAGGCAATTACACAAAAACTGTACACCAACATACCCTCCCTACGGCACACAAACACATGCAGGCATACATTACACACATGGAGGAACGTCCTTAAACGACCGATTACTGTTGATAGGACGTTAACCCATATAAAACAAAAACACAAACCCCTTACAGAATCGTTTTTCCTGCTTACCCATCGAAGAATCGAAATTGATATGTTCCTCCCATAGCTTTTTCTCATTTCCCCTCTTTTTTTTTTTTTTTGCAGTGGCTCCTTAGACAGCCGTCTTCATAAGGCGTTAGCTGATTTCATTGACATTAAACCTCAAACAACTTTAATTGATTGTGAAATTAAACAGTGATTGATAGGAATGAATGTTCTATTTGACAATAATCATCCAGGTTACGAAAATGTATCTATGTGCGCTGACTAAACAGTATCAATCAATAGCCGCTTTAATTGTGTGCTTAAGCGTTCTTCTCGTCATATTTGGCAGTTAAGAGCGATATCTGGAAATTAACTAGGATGACTGAGTGTCACTGAGGAATTTAAATTATTTATATATATTTTTTTTTGATAAATGTATATACTGCTGTGCATAATTCGCACAGGGCAACTATTTCTCATCATTGACTTTATATATTTCAGTGTTAACACTATCACGACATTTACCTTGGAAGATACCCGCTGACATTCGGTAGTACTTGATGTTGAAAAAAGTGCTGGCCATTTCTTTATGGACGGCAACAAATCAGAACTGCAAGATCAATCAATACAAAGCTATACCGATAACAAACTTCCAGAATCACACATCGTTATTGCAGGTATCTAATGTAAACAATATTTATTTTACAACAATTATTAAATAAGTTATCCAACATATATTAAACATATATGATTACAGATTAATATTTGTCCATTATGGATATTTTGGAGGTGAACGTGTGGTTATATGAATCTGATATGGACCAAGAGGAAGTCGAAGTAAATGTCAATATCCATTTTTTTATTATCCATGTTACCACATTATGCTGAAACAAACGAACATTATTGATATATATAAGATGTTTAATAATGTTCAAATAATTAAATACTGGAATACTTTCCATAATTAAATAAAGAGAGAACGTGAAAAAAAATATTGTCAGGAAAAAACCACCGCATTTGGCAGAAAGCATTTTGACGTTACACGTACCATTGATATGACGCCATTAAGGGAATATTTATCCGCTGTTTCCAAACATAGTCAAACCGAGCATTTTACTAATATCATATGTATATTCAACAGTATGTATTATTTGTGACTTAGTTGAGTGATTTATTATTATATATCTTTTTGAAATAATCAGTCGATTAGCTTGTACTTATGAGGGTGTGGTGTTTCAACCTATACTAAATTATCGTCACTGTCTCCAACTGCTTTAATCTCTTGAATTTTAGTCATCAATGCATCCTTGATTAATTAAGTCTTGAAGATGGGACATTGAATTTGCCGAATTATACTTAAGACTCTTCATAAGACTTTAACAAGTAAATGAGTTCATTGTCTAATATACACACTTGATTCGTTTTGTAATTTGAAATCAATCAGTACTTGACTGATTTATGAAATTCATATAAGTAATTTGTTTTATACATCCTCCTCTGTTTTCTCCACCTTTTCGGCCCTACCATCACCAACGAGTCGCAAACGGATCTAGCTGTATAATGCATCGTAAATTATTAACATTACCATCATTTTAAAGGAGTCTTCACTTGTGTGGGTAACGTTCATCTTCCTTTCATTATAAAATTTCAACAAAAGTCTAAGTAATTTCGTGATCATATGAACGAAGTGTTGAACGAAAAGGCTACCCATGGTGGTTCATTTTCAATAAAACGTTTGATTTTAAGTTATTTGTTTAAAAAAAGAACGCTAAAGTCAGAGTGAGATCTCATCCGTTTTTCGGCTTTCACAGGCTATGGAACTTGCTTGTACCACGGTATATTGATTTTATAACAACAATTCGAGGTATACGCTATTTTATATTCCGATTATTTACATAAAAGGACCAGAAATCATCATTCAAACATGTTTTAAGAACAAGAGGCCTAGAGGGCCTGTATCGCTCACCTGGAAATGTTAGCAAAATTGAAGTTGAAATAGCTAGATGTTGCTGTACATGTATTACATGGTTAGTCAGGGGTTTTATTTATATGCTATTGGACAAAATCCTGTCATTCCTACAGGAAAAGGATGATTTTAAAGCTATTTTTCTATTTTACCTATTTGGCCCCACCCCTCTGTTCCCAGGGGGGGGGGTTGGCAGACCCATCGTTGATACAAAATTAGTTTCCTGTCATTCCTACAGAAGTGACCCCAGGGAGGCCAGACCCACAATTTATATAAGATTGATTTCCCTTCCCCATAGGATGCTACTGTTCAAATTTGGTCAAAATACCTTCATCCCAACGTAAGAAAAAGGATACTAAGGCTATTCCTCTATATCCCTTATTTGGCCCGCCAATCTGGCCCCAGGGGAGGAGTCACACTCACTGTTGATACAAATTAAGTCTCCTTGATCCAAGGATGCTCCAGACTAAATTAGGATAAAATCCTTTAATGCTTAAGGTGGAAGGAGGATTTAAAAGGTTTTACCTCTATTTCCCTTATTTGGCCCAACCCTCTGCCCCCAGGGAGGCACACCATCTATATACATTTACTGATTTATTGTATATGTGCCATCTTTGTAGCACCCACCGTTTTTACAAAACTGAGTCCCCTTGGCCTAAGGATGCTCCAGACTAAATTAGAATAAAATCCCTGAATACCTACGGTAGAAGAAGGATTTTAAAGGTTTTACCTCTAATTTCGTCGACGTACGTGGTTTTTCCTGGTCTTCCAGCATGTATACTTTGAAGTTGCCGTGCACTCTTAAATTACGAGAGATTCTTTCAGAGTTATATTTTATTTTTATAAAAAGATTTTTTCGGTGTCGATATTAAACATATTTTAAAAGCGTGGGTTATGTTGATGTGTTTTGTACGAGAAAAATGATGCTGGTAAAATATTTTCAGCCGAAAATGCCAGCCTTTCTAAAAAAAAAAGTTCACTAAAGGAAACATAATAAACCATCTTAACTGAGGTAACTTCAGTAAAAAAAAAAGTATGACTTAACAAATGATATCTTGAAACGGTAACGGATTGGATCAATTGCACTAAACTAGCATATTATTTTATATGTGGCTGAGCATTAGACATTCTATTTTTCTCGGTAGTTTTTTTTTATTCATATAGGGACCGCGGAACCAAATGATTTTCCTTAGACGATAGTGTTAACGTTTACCACTGTCCTGGTTAAATGGGGTTATCCACACTGGTTTACCTGACCTCATTTTGAAGAATAGCATCTCACACAACTGTAAAAAAAATATTTCAAAATTCTGCCAATTTGAACATTTTTTTTTATATGGGGGCTGCCATCTTGTATTGAATTCGGCACCAAAAATCTAACAAAATTTACAACAAATTACACACTTAATAAACTCACCCAGACAAAACCAGACTTTAATTATTTTATTTTGTTTTTCATACATATTACATCTATATATATTGCTCAACCCACACATAAAACTTTTGAAACTTCTGCCACCTTAATATCCAACCAGCAGGCCCCGAGGCATTCACCTTTCTATTAAATCTTCTGCCCAAAAAGGAAAAACCCACAATCTATTTTTGATTTGGTTCCGTGGTCCCTATAATGTACAAATGATGGCAGAAATACTTATATAATAAAAACAACACGAATTTACTGCCAACATGATCTCCGAAATACTTTTTACTCATTAAGATAATCGGCTTAATGATTAAGAAATAAACTTTAAACGAAGTGGTTTACTTTACATTTCTCCCAAAAAATACTTTCCAACATTGTACTGTAGAAGCCAAGATAGAAAAATGTCTTGCATTTCTTCTAAACATTTTCATTTTTGATACATTAGTGACATTATTCAATTATAGCCTTTGGCTGAGGTCGATACCTGGATCTTTTCTCGGGTCGATAAATCCAGGTATCGACCGAAGTTAAAGGTTACAATTGTTTTATTATTTCAAATCAGTAATGTATGCAATCTGAAAAAAAACCACCAAAAAAGCTACAAAAGCGGGACGGGACGGTGCGTTGTTTGGAGACACGTCATAATTCTATTTTTAGAAACACCCAGTCCTTTAACAAAAATAAGTAAATATCGGTTTTTATCGGTGGACACGGCCAATCACTTGTCGTGAATAATATGAAAAAATAATAACATGTGTTAAGCTACTTTGAAAATAATCTGAACATTTGGAAATTGAAACACTAACTTTTTCTGAAATGGTGCCTACATTTGTCAAGAAATTGTTGATGGAATGTCAGTTACTTACTTTAATGCCGCAAACAATCACATAATATATAAATTCATTTATACAAGACATAAAACAATTCCTTTATACAGACGGATATTTCATCGGTACTATTGCTCGTTTAAATATACGGTCAAAGGAAAATGGATTGGATGATATTCTCGACTCGATTTCCCATTGTAATGCAACCCGTCACGGAGATCTTTTAGCCTGGAAGGATTTTGAACATGTTGAAGGTGAGGATGTTTTTGTTCAGATACCTAGTGAATGTGACGGTAAATGCGTTTACATCAATTTTATGTTTATATAACATATAAGAATTCCTCTACAACGATAAAATGTGATTTCCTAGAAACAAAATTGTCGTTGAAATCAAGACACCAAAACTGAAAGTAAGGGATTTATGAATTGGTAATTAACACCAATAATTAAAAAAGTAAGGGATTGATGAATTGGTTATTAACAGCCCACCAATAATTAAAAAGTAAGGGATTGATGAATTGGTAATTAACAGCCCACCAATAATTAAAAAGGTAGGGGATTGATGAATTGGTAATTAACAGCCCACCAATAATTAAAAAAGTAAGTTCAGAACAGAGAAAATTCACGAATGAAAGTTACACGTTACATAACACATTCAATGAAACTTAAAAAGTGTTGTTATCTTTTTAGATCATGACGATTGTAATATAAACCAATGCAACGGTGGATTGTGTAAAGATGGACTCTTCACATATAGCTGTGTCTGTCCGATTGGACTAAAGGGAGATAATTGCGAAATCAATACAGACGATTGTGAGGACAACTCTTGTGAAAACAACTTAATGTGCATAGACGAAATCGGAGGATATACATGCAAATGTGATATCAACTTTAAGGGCGATTGCTGCGAAATTGCAGTCGGTAAGTTAATATTTATATCATACATGTTTAATCTACAACTTAATTTGTTGTAAAATGTTTCTCGTTGCCGAAGGTAAAGGTAATTGAATACAATTGTATGTCAACATTAAAACACAATTTGTTCTGGCGAAATGACAGATAGTTCCAGTATGCTTTGTTTTACATATACTTTAATCTTTATAAGAACTGAATCAAAGCAATAGAATGCTACGATACAAATAGTTTATTTCTCTGAATGTTTGTTTGTCTGCTTTTTTTCTATGTCTCTCATGACATCTGTTGAAATGAGGCTTATATATTTTGATGACACTCCCTTGAACAAACGAACGTTCTAATTTTGTATGCCGTTCTCGGTCGTAAATATTTATATTCATATTGCTTTACCTTGTTATCTATGTAATATATTGTTATTATGTGAAGTTGACGGGAGTTGGAGTTCGTGGGGCAACTGGTCAGTATGTTCTTCTACATGTGGAAATGGGACCTCAACACGGAAACGCCTTTGTAACAACCCAACACCAGATAACGGTGGCAATGACTGTCTAGGTGAAGCCACTGAAACAATAGTCTGCAACATGGCTGATTGTATTGGTAATGTATATACTGCAATGTTTATAAGGGCGTTTCACAGAAAGAAAGAAAAAAAAACACGCATGCATTACACACGTGGAGAAACACGAAACAAAACCTTTTTTCTTCTATGTTCTTTTTTCTTCTTCATCTGTAATACTTCGCAAAAGATAAACTAAATGTTTAAAAAAAAAAAAAAAAAAATCTGATTTAATTGTTACAAATTATTTTGACGAGACTGGCTTATAAATGCCTTAGTTATGTATCTTGATGATTCTACATTGTCATTAATCTCTAGATGTAAAAAGTTACTCGTTTTATGATTTCAGTTTGTACAAACTTGACAACCCCAGCCAATTCGGTCCTCGTCTGTAACTGGAATACTACCGAGGACGCCGTTGACTGCAAATTAACCTGTAAGGATGGCTACGACTTTGATCATCCCGCGAAGAAAAACTTCTTTTGTGGACCGGATACATTTCACTTATGGGATTTCAAAACGGACGATAACGCTTACGGCCGGCTCCCTACATGTACAGGTAACATTAAGACACTTCCAATACTGTAACATTTTCTAATTGTCTTAAATATGTTTTTCTATGTGACTTTCACGTGTCCATTACGGTTGAAGTATGCTAGGGAATTGGTACGAAATATCGAGAGGCGCGTTTTCTTTCAAAACACTGGCTTGAAAAATTGTACCAGTATACATCGGTTTAACTAAAGATGATGTTCTTTCAAAGATATTTTTCGGTTCTAATTTGGCATAAAAATTGCATTATGCTTTGTTTTTTAGAAATCGTAGATGGAAGTAAAATTGACTGGAGATACAGGGCTTCGTATGAAGATTTGGTATGTGACGAAGACACCTTTGAGCTTATTACAAAGAAGATAAAGTTATTAGTATATGACCCAGTCTTTAACCTTTCAACAGGATGGTTCCTGCGCAGACCATTGAGGTGACAGAATGTCAAATGGATAGGCATAAACGTTCTACAAGCACTAAAACTGCTGGATTTGCTACAGATTTTACATGCGACGCTACACAATGTGAGTAATTTTATGCGCTTTCTAAAACGTTTTACTATTTGTAAATTGTTGTGCCGTCTCCTTTGCAACATTTCGGATCGATTTCTTTTTCTTTTCCTCGTAACATAACTAATATTTCGTTTCGGCGGTGTCTCCCAAAACATCCCTCTTCAAGAGACCTTAGCTGTAGCGAGAGCGTCAAACATACAAACAATTTAGTTCATAATATAGAGGGGTTGTTGACCACATAAGGGCTGGTTTAAAGTGCCATTTTGCTGAAATGCCATAGCCTGGACACGGTAGCACGATACTGCACGTTGTCACATACAGTGAAATACTGAAAACTGTCTGAAACAGTCCATACTGTTATATTTTGAGTTTTACGTTTAGGCAATAGCCAATGCTATGTGAAGACGGAGGGAGACATTTTCAACGCACAATAATAATATTAAGACGGTGTTCATCTTTGTTATAGGCAATACCTACATAATACATAGTTATACATTACGTAAGGAACCCCAGCCTTATTGCCATACATGTGATCAACCATTTACAGTCAAACATGTATGATTGAATACACTGGTTGCAATCAAATACGTGACAGTTTATATAGTGTACCGTCTATGAAAAGGTTTTTTGATACAGTTTCTGTTCAATTGATATATGATTACATACACTCGCCGAGCTTTACAATAAAATATGATATCTTTTACATTAAATCCGTTTGTTATTGATGTTTTTGTTTTTGTATTCTTTACATATTTTAGCCTATTTAGTTTCAGATTGATATATTCATTTTGTGAATATCTCTTTTTTTACCGTGTTGTTCGGCCCCAAATGACACGCATAGTAGATGGGCCGTTACGAATACAAAAACAACAGATGTATCAAATAATACATGCACTTTACACAATATGAACAATGCTATGTTGTTCTTATACAAGATTTGTGGTATTGTTGGTGTTAATAGTCACTTCAGATGGATGCAAGGATACTATCATCCAGTCACTGGAAGAAATACTGACGAAAAAACGCGGCAACGAATTCAACACGTTTGTGGACGGTGTCGAATATGCCGTCAGACAAAACAGCTCTGCGTTTGGTGGAAAGTTTTCTGTGACCCTGGTTCAGTTCCCGTACACAATTACTGTGGTAAGTAAAATACAACTAAAATGTACATCGATGCAATATATGCTATTTTTGTATCGTCATGTTTTTCATTGAAATTAATCAAGAAAGACAGGTATTATCATTTGCAATATTAAAACAAATCACACTCCGAAGAAATTAGGAACGTAGAGCAAGAAGGGACACCATTTAAAATATCGAGGCACATACTGTTAATCAACATATATTAGCAGCACTTCCATTCGGTGATTTTTCCGCTTTGATTATTGTGCTAATATTTTATAAACTACACTAATAAAGTTTCTTTACAAATGCTTCTGTTGTGGGTATCGTCGGTGCACGAAATCCCTTATATGCTTCTGATAAAAGTCGATAATATACTGAATGTAAGTCCGCTGCTGTAAGCACTTTTACAGTATATCCTGTATATTATTGATTGAGTAATTAGTAATTTTCGTCAGCGCATCATCTGATATGTCATATTTTGTTGATTGATGTACATGAGAAAAGTTTTAGTATACTTCATTTGACAAGATTTGTATTATTTTCTTAATAGTACCTTGCAGTGCCGGTAGATATCAACGAGGTGACAATTGTGAGAAATGTTATGTTGGGACTTACCAGGAAATTGTTGGGCAGACGTCTTGTATAAGCTGTCCTGATGGATTGACTACTGAAGGAAGGGCATCGACAAATCTGTCAGACTGCAATGATAAATTTAGACATTTCCAATGTTTTTTTACGTTGCTTGCTCCTGCAAAATAGTTAAAATACATTTGTACCCCTTTATTTGTCTTCAATGTTTTCAAATTATATGATGGTTATACAATGTACCAACTCAGTCATGTTTCCAGTGAAGATATATTTTGTACAGCCAGCAACACTTGCTATCAAAAATATGATAATCAAGTCACGCGATAGATCACTACGTACCCATACATTGCTCATCCTCGACACTCCAGGGGGTACACTCTCTACACCCCTGGAATATGTCATAGCAAAATACAATTGAAGGCTCAATGTGCGCCACCTTGTTGATGAGACAAGGAGACTAGTTCCATCCTTTAATCATCATAAGAATCTCGCGGTCACGTAACCGTCAACATTGACAGGCTTTGAAGTCGGGTGTCGCGCCTTTGTAATATTCAAAGGACAGGTATCAGCCTAGCGATTGGTCAAATTAATTGGCCAGATTATTTTACCCGAGACCAATCAAACAGCTATTTTTGTGCCTTCAATTTTGCTATGATACATATTCCAGGGGTGCAGAGATCGTAATTGAGCGTTAGCCCGCGAATGTCGAGGATGTACATTACTAATCATTAAAGGATATGAGTGTGTACATGGTGTACTAAAGGAGACATGTGATAACGAAAACATAGTTGCAAATATGCTCACTACAAGTTAAATATAATGTTAAAAAAAGGAATATAGAATCTGACCGGCCACTAGACAAGATATGGTCATATAGAGCCATACGGTAGGTTTAAGGTTGTTGACTTTTGTTTGTCTTTTGTAATTTGTACTATTTTACGATCCTTTGACAGTGCGAGAATATATAGTAAGAAAGGTGTTAAAAAAGTAAAATTGCATCAGCTGCAAACGAATTAGTTGTAATAAATGCCATCTAATTGTAAATATCAATTGCGTGTACAGTCATATATTGATTGCACAGAAACGGTATCAAATACAGTTTTCATATACGATACATTATAGAATCTGTCACGCACTTGTTTGAAATCGGCGCATTCCATCATATTATGTTTGACTATAAATTGCTGATTATATGCTTGACAGTTAGGTTGGTCTTCTTTACGTGAAATATAACCATGTGTGATGTAAGTATGGCTTATGCACAGCTGCGAGAGGATAAAGTCCTTTATGCGGTTGAGTTACATATAACAGAAATGATATTGATACAAATTTTGCAATTTTAAACTGAATGTTATAAAACATGACATTGTGTAATTTATTGTAATGCGATGCACATAATATTAGCATAGGCAAAAACTGGCGAATTATATTCCAAACGTAATAGATTATTCAAACGAGATTAATCTGTCAAGTTTGTAACAAATTGTCCATTTTTCACAGATAGTGTCATTTTGGGTTTGAAAAATAATGAATAAGTGGAGCTGATACGAAATAAGCGAAGTGTATAATTAAAACAAAAAAACGAAATAAGCTTGATGCAAAAACACATTCGTGGCTTTAGAATACTTGTAAAAAGTTTAATATACTCATATTATGTTAACTAAATGACATTTAAACAAAAAATTGTGAAATCAACAGCTAAGGTTATTTAAGGACGTCCATAACATTTAGCAGTAATAACCACAACCATTTTTTATGTCGCCATATAAAAATGAAATTTGACGGAAGTATTATGGTATGGGGTCGTCCGTCCGTCCGTCCGGCGTAAACTTTTGTTTGTCCGGCAATCTCCTCCTACAATTTTCGACCGATCTCTTTGAAACTTGGTATACATTATAATCAGGTTATGAAGTTGTGTCGCCCTTAAAAGAATTTTGATTTGACAATTTTTGCAAAAGTTATTGCCCTTTGTTCATTTCAGTATTTGATTTTTGTCCGGAGATTTTCTTCTACATTTTTTATAGCATGTCAGCTAACCACTCTTAGAATGATGCAGATCTTATTTCATTGTAAGAATGTATATAACACCATATGACATTCGACAGGCGTATATTGTTCCGCCCCGCGGTACTCTTGTTGTTTAAGCATTCCTGTCTACCCCTAAACAAGCATGCTATATAACTAATTCCCTTTTTAATCGACGGTGTAGACATTTGTATTGCCTTTAGCCGCTGATACAAACATGCCAGTTTTATAAAATTCCCCATTTTCTTTTCTCTTCAGCATTTGCTTCATCAGTCAGGTATTTGTTAAACTAAAGAAGGGAACAGTTCAGCATTATAAGAAGTACTCTCACAAGAAATACCTAGGCTCGTTACGTTTAGAAGGTTTTGTCTCTTGGTAGGAATGATATTGTAACAATGTTTTATGAAGTATAAAAGGCAGTTTTTTGAAGGTGAGTTTTCTTTATTGCAGTCGCTCTTGCCATACCGCCTGATTACCAAGGTAAGGACATTCTGTTGCAAACTTAATCGAAACATAATAGATATGATTCATACTATAACTATTATTATGATCAATGCTTCACGGCCCATCAACACAGGAAATAACAAATGGTCGAAAAAAACAAATGCCAAACTAAAACAACAAAAAAACAAACTTACAGGTAAAAGACAAACGTCAAATTGAATATTGATTATAGCTATAGCGACTCAAATTTTATTAAAAAGACCAACAGCTTTTAGACAGCCTAAAATTGAAGAGACAGTTATGTTTTCGAACAGAAATGTAATGTTATTATAGACATTTTCTCGAGTTGACTGAAAGTCGATACAATCTAAAAACAAGGGCTTTACTATAAATGGCTCCTGATACGCTATGCATTGAAGCTGGACTTCACGTTTTAATAAATAACAATGGGTAATGTATGAATGACCCATCCGGAGACGGGCAAGGACAACCTCGTCTCGGCGCCTCTCTCTGTAGCTAGGATGCCATTCACCGATTTGAGGTCTAATAGAATGTTTGGTTTGGTTTGGTTTAATATTGTTTAACGTCATAGCAACAGCTATGGTCATTTAAGGACGGCCTCCCCTGTGTGCAAGATGCATGCCTTTAGTGTTTGCGTGTGTATTTTGGGAGGCTGCGATATGTTCGTGTTTGTCCCCTTGCGATAGCGCGGAACTGATGCCGACGTTATAGTGCGCCCTCACTGAAACATACTGCCGAAGACACCCAGCAGGACACCCCACCCGGTCACATTAATAGAATGTTATTTGTTATCGACGCATTTATTAGATATGATTCAAGTGGCGAGTTAAAGTTTATAATACTCCTGGCATCGCTCAGGATTGTTTTGTTCAAATCGTTACAAATGTCAATGTTAATGCAGACAAAATAAAATAAAACACGAGTCCAGAGGAATCTTAACCCCAAAATGTTTGACCAAATTTTCTTCAAAGAAATGAAGGTATGAAAATTTGCATTAATTTGCCGACCATTACATTCATGATGAAATAGCTGCAGTTTGCAATTTAGATCTAAAATTCGTCCCTCGAATAACATTAGCTGGCCTATGGCATGTGCTGATCATTTCAAATAAATCTCGGTGAAATCGGTGTAGAAGAACTTTTACGTTTTAATTCAAAATACGTTTTAGAAATAGCAAATATTGCTTCAAATGCAGTCATATTGGATTTTAAATCTGGCCCCAAGGATAAAGAGTATGTAGGGAGCATATGCAGATCAATACCACTTAGTTCCGACGAAATCACTTATGCAGAATTAAGTTTCTATATTTTTAAATAGTAGTCAGACTCGGGTTCAAATCTGCTCTAAAATACCACGAAATGACCAGGAACATGCGCCTATCATTCCTTTAAAATTTAGCAAAATTTGTTTGGTAGGGATTCAGTTCAAGTTTGAAAAGTAAAACGCGAGGACGGATAGATGCAGATACAATTAGGTCAACAGATTATTGTACCTGCTAACGATATAGAACAGACAGAACAATGAAAAGAAGCTACATATGTGGAAAAGAGATAATTGAAATGGGGTAAAGTATGGACCGAAATAACAAGGATCAAGTAACCAATAAGAATACTAAATGCTTTTATTTTACATTTACAGTTCCAGTTTGGCAATATGCTGTTCCTGCGGTAATAATTGCACTCGGAGTGGTCGGTGTCGGTTGCATTAAATTTGGAAAGCGGAAATATAGAAAGAGCAGGTATGGCTCACCCAATCGTGTGACTTAAACGCGAAAAAAGAGTGTGTTTTTTTTCAATTTCTTTGATTAAATATAATGTTAAATAACATATAATGCAAAATGTGACACTATTAACTCTGAAAATATTGCGAAAACGTATGATAAAAATGATAGGGCAAAATTTTCAAATAAAACTGAAGCTCATATTCCAAAAATAAATTTGTGTCATGGTACTTCTTTAAAATAGCAAAACCTTTTTCAATTAGATACACAATATATTTAAAACCTCTTGAAAACTTTTGTTTGAATATGCTTAGAAATTATTAAAACATAATGAGGTGTGTATCCGTTTTATGAATTTCGTTTTGGAAATAATTATTATGTAATAATACCACAAATCTTATTAAATATTAGAATTATGAGTCCAAGTTCACATCGCATGCACATTTATTTTTCAGGCTGTTTGAAATGGTACCAAACCCATCCATTGATTCTGAATCTAATCATAATCAAGTGGAGTTGGTAGATACGAAAAAGTATATAAAAGGTAGCGGTTAGCAAAAGTGACTACTGACGACATGAACAAGGATTACATGATGAGAGATGGCAAAAGATAAACCCACCTATGAGGAGTTAAAACTCTTAATCTTAAGGTGTGCTGAGAACTATAATATCTTCTGCGGGCTGTTGCGTACCTAGGATGGCCAGTTATGTAGTTTTGCTATATGTGTGGAGTAAATGTCTAGCTTTTATGGTTTTTATTAGTCACCCCTGGGGGAACCCCAGTGGGGACAATTAATTTCGGTTTCAATTCCAGATTTTGATATCTGTTGCTTTTCGCTAAAAATGCTTTCGTGTGTTTGCTTCTGTCGAAATATACCAGGCGCTAATTACAAG